TTGGAGAGGCGGAGAAAGAAAACATCAAAGAAATTCTCCCAGTGAGAGAATGTAAGATAGACTTCCTTCTTTTTATTTATCATGGAACACACTACTTGTCTGATAAATATTTGTGGAGACTTTCGTGGCTAGTTTTTTGGTCTTCTCATTGTGATAATCATTTTAATAATGGTTCAATATATATACAATATATAAGTAGAAACTATTTTAGACGCGTAAGATTCTTTCAGAAATTAAACAATTTCTACTGCCCTTATTGCAACGTAAAAATAATGGGAGAGCTTGGCTCATCAGTGGTGAACCCTCCAAGCGGTTTCACCAGTTTAATCTACGATACCGCTGTTATATTGCATTTTTCGATCTTTCTTTTATAGTGATACTGTGTTGTTAGACTCTTGGAATTTGTATTTTAGATTAACTATGGACATGAGCTTTGAGGACAGCAGAATTACATACAATTATAAATATATAATGGCGCGCTAGTGCGTCGAAATATATTTAAAATACAATATAATGCGGCTTTCAATTGTAGAACGAAGATTGACAACTATACCGCAAATCTTTAACGAGAAATAACAATTATTTCTAACCTTAGCGATAAAGTATGAAAGGATGAATTGTGAAGTGTAATGATAAATATGTCCAGGGTAGCCTAGTGGACATGGCATCTGCCCGGTAAACGGAACACTGTGGGTTCGATTCCCTTTCCTGGACACATTATTTTTTCGTTTATCTCATTACCTTTCACAATTAATCCTTAAATGCTATAGCCCTAAGGTTAGAAATAATCATTATTTCTCCTATAAAAAATTCGATATTTCGTTCAAAAGAAACATTGCGGTATAATTGTCAAACATCGTTCTACATTATATATATGTTATATAAAAATTATTTAATTTGAAATTATATTGTTCTAGAATATAAACCTACTCTGTAAGGTCAACCGCCAGATGTCGCGGTTTTCCCTATATAAACTCATTGTTGTTGTTTCCCGTTGGCCTGCTCAAATCTTTCTGTAGATATTTAAATACATAATCTTTTAATTTCATCTTTAGCCTCAAATCAGGCATTTGTTTCTTATGTCTATCAGCATAAATAAAGCTAATTCTGATCTAAACTACACCCATATCTCGCTTTGCGTCGGGGTTACGTTACAAAAAAGCACGACGCAAATTGAAAAGACGCAAAGTGAAAATATGTGAAGGCTCAATCAAAAACAAATGTGTTGCCATATTTTAGGAAAAAAAATTGAAAAAAAATTTGAAGACTCGAATCCAAAACAACGCATCTTCGAAAATATAACGACGCACAGTGAAAATCAGTAAAAATTAAGCAGCGACGCAACTTCGAAAAAAACGCGAAAAGAAACGACACAAAGCGAGGTATTGGTGTATTTTTATTATTACCACGACTTCAATATGACAAACATACTCAAGTATAAAGCAAATGATAAATAATTCTATATCAAAAACATCAAGCAAATATATTTTTATATTTTTTATAACAAAGCTAAATTCTATATCAAACAAATTTATCATAATATGGAGAAAACAATAGAAAAAATAAAAATAGAAAGGTCAGGTTTTGATATTATAAATAATGAAGGCATATCCTGACCAATAGCATATGGCTGGAATTTCTTGATTTATTCAAGGAATTGGGTTGGCCAAATATCACGGAGCAAGTTAAATAAACGTTTAGTTTATTTTTGCTCCACTAGATGGCGATCTTCCATCTAAAAAGTACATGTGGGTTTAGTCAGGATATGCCTTCATCATTTTAAATATAAATATTTAATAAATATAAAAAATGAGATTTCTGTTGTATTTTGGAAATAAAATTCAAAACTATTTTAAAGGCGTAAGATTCTTTTTGATATTAAACAACTTCTACTGGCCTTACTGCAATGGAAAAATTAATGAGAGGGCCTGGCTCATCAGTGGTGAACCCTCTCAGCGGTTTCGCTAGTTCAATCTACCATACCGCTGTTATATTGCATTTTTGGAGAGAGAAATTACCCTCGTCCGCTGTAAGTCCCTGGGGGACTTTTTCGGACAAAAACTGGACGACTGGACGACACATGCAAACGGCCCTCAGCTTCAGGAAGGGCGCGCCGCTTGCGAGGGAACCAAGGCAGCACCAAGTACGACTAAAGCTCCCTAGGCTTAAAAAATAGGGGATCATCAGAGATCAAGAGTCTGGCTTTTATCTTTAGCGAGCTCCCGTTGGAACGTATTGCATTTTTGGTAACAATTTATTCCGCCTTCTACATGCTAACAGGTAAGCATTTTAAGGCTCATATTGCATTTTTGGAACTTCCTTTTATAGTGATACTGTTGATAGACTCTTTGAATGGGTATTTAAGAAGAACTATGGACATAAGTTTAGAGGACAGTAGAATTACATACATTTATAAATATATAATATGCTTCGAGCAATCGCTCTTCCGCAAATATCAAATTGTTTCTTTTATTAGAACATTTATAATATGATGCACTAGCGCGCCATCTGTTATCAAAATTCAAAACTATTTTAAAGGCGTAAGATTCTTTTTGATATTAAACAATTTCTACTGCCCTTATTTTGGAATTAGATTGATATATTGATTTAATTTTATTTTTTGGTTCTTTTTAGGACTAAATGGTATTGGTAATGCAGTCGTGGTTAAAATCTTTAAATTATAATAATAAATATGGTTTTGATCAGAGGTTGCTTTAATTGAGCTAAGCATATATAAAAAAAACAATTTGATAAAAGTACTGCCTGGCTTAAGGCGAGTAGAACAAGGAAAACAAAATATTATTTACATAATGAACAAAAGGTTTGAGCCGGCCAGCGGGAAAAAACAACGAGCTTTTATATGAAAAGCGTGGCCTCTGGCGGTCGATTTATAAGAGTATTTGAATATATGAAATTATATTTGAAAAACATATTTTAATATAAAAAAAATAAATAAACGGGTTGACCAAATATCAAAGAACAGGATAAATCAACCCTTAATTGATTTCTGTGTCACTAGATGGTGCACTGCCATTTAAAAGGCACATGTCACCGCTAGATATCGCGGCCTTCCCATTATATAAAACCATTATTTTGACGTGTATTATCTAAAAAATCAATTTTCTACTGACCTTACTGCAAATATAAGACCTTACTATTATTCTACAATTGTAGTTAGGTCAATAGAAAATTGATTTATAAAAAAAAAGAATCATACACATAAAAAAGGTTTAAATTTTTTATTTAAATGTACCCCAATCTCAATTTACATTAGATTCTTAAACACATTTAGGCCTAACTCTCGATGATTAGGTAAACACAATAGAATATGTAAAAACGAAATTTTGAAACTTACATTTGATTCTTAACCAATTTTAAGGTCAAAACTCTTATTAGATAAAAACAATAGAATATTTGAAGGTAAAATTTTGAAACTTATATTTGATTCTTAAACACTTTTAAATTCAATTCTCTATTATTAGTTAAAAACAATAGCATATATTTGAAAATAGAGCAATCTCCATAAATAAATATTTAATTAAAAAGACATATATTGGATCAAAATATAATTTATTTTACCAATAATTTACCAATAATGTGTGTCAACAACAAACTCAGCGCCATATAACGTCAACAGAATTAAGTTTTAAAAATATATTGTTATATCCAAAGAGGGGAAACAATTTGATATATATATTTTTTTATATTGGGCAAAATATATTTTGTAAAAAATGGGTGTGAATATTTTGATAAATAATACTAGTATAGGCGTTATTGTTAATTTTCAAAATATTCACACCCATTTTTTACAAAATTTATTTTGTTCATAATATAAATAAATATATCAAATCCCCCCCCCCCCCCTTTGAATAAAACAAAATATTTTTAAAACTTAATTCTGTTGACGTTATGTGGCGCTGAGTTTGTTGTTGACAAACATTAAATATGTTATAATACCTTGATAAAAGTTGGCGTTCAGCCAACTGAAATATTGGTAAAATAAATTATATTTTGATCCAATATATGTCTTTTTAATTGAAAAAAAGAATATGTGAAGAACAAAATATTTAAACTTACATTTGAATCTTAACCAGATTTAAGGTCAACACTCTGTGTTTAGATAAATACAATAGAAAATTTAAAGGCCAAATTTTAAAACTTACATTTGATTTTTAACCATTTTTAAGGTCAAAACTCTAAGATTATATAAAAACAATAGAATATGTGAAGAACGAAATTTTCAAACTTTTTTTACGTGTATTATAATAGGTATAATAAGAATAGAACTATTATTGATGATAACATTCAAAATGGTGGACGACTGCCATTATCTTCTGCTGTTCATTGATGCTGATCAATTTGCCTGGGATCGTCTGCCACGCTATTCCTCCATCTGTGGAGATGTGGCGACCATCGTTTGATTAATATTAATGACGCCCAACCCCCTCAATTTCTCCGCACGAACAATAGGTCGGTACAATCCCTTTCGTTCTATGTCCAATATTAAGTTTATTACTTTCTCTATATTAATAAAATAATATATATTCTCCAATATATAGAATTATAATACAATAAAATCGGTTTATGATTGTAGAACGACGTTTGAAAAGGTTCGAAATTCATTTTAACGAGAAATAACGATTATTTCGAACCTTAGGGATGAAGTATGAAAGAATGAATTATGAAGAATAATGATAAACGGAAAAATAAAATGTCCAGAGATGGGAATGGAACCCACAGTGTTCCGCTTACCGGGCAGATGCCATGTCCACTAGGCTACCCTGGACATATTTTCTGCTCGTAAATATTATATAAAGTAATTTTTAAAACAATATAATATGGATTATGATTGTAGAAAGAAGTTTGACAATTATACCGCAAATGTTTCTTTTGAACGAAAAATCGAAATATATTTTAAGGAAAATAAAGATTATTTCTAACCTTTGGGATGAAGTATGAAAGGATGAATTGTGAAGAGTAATGATGAACGGAAAATAAAGTGTCCAGGGATGGGAACCGAACCCACAGTGTTCCGTTTACCAGGCAGATACGATGTCCACTATGCTATCCTGGACATATTTTCCGCTCGTAAATATTCCCATCCCTGGACACCTTATTTTTCCAATTATCATTACTCTTCACAATTCATCCTTAATACCTCATCGCTAAGGTTAGAAATAATCGTTATTTTTCCTTAAACTAAATTTTGATTTCTCGTTCAAAAGAAACAATTGCGGTATATTTGTCAAACCTCGTTCTATATAGCTTTGTGTTGGCTAAAATATATGTTTTTATAAGAATTATAATTCACTAGCGCGCCATCTGTTATCAAAATGAGATATTTGCGGAAGAGCGATTGTTCGAAGCATATTATATATTTATAATTGTATGTAATTTTACTGTCCTCAAAGCTTATGTCCATAGTTCATCTAGAATACCCATTCTAAGAGTAGCATCAGTATCACTATAAAGGAAAGGTCAAAAATGCAATAAAACAACGGTATGGTAGATTAAACTGGGTATATCACTGGTAGGGTTCACCACTGATGAGAAAGGCCCTTTCATTAATTTTTCTATTGCAGTAAGGGCAGTAGAAATTGTTTTAATTCGAAAATAATCATACATATCTATAATAGTTTCGAAATTTCTTATATAAGTATCTAAAAATACGAATTTCGCCTTTCCCCTCAAAATTTCCAAATACTACTCTGATCAAAAAGTTTCGACACTTTGCTCATAAAATCCTGAAAACTCAATATATTTTCTCCCGGTTTATGACAAAGGCAAGCGCCGCCCTTGGCTTGGAGACCTGCCAATTCTCAAAAATCACGCGCCACAACAGCGCGAACAGCGGCTGTTGGAAGTGAAGCCATTTTGCCCGTGCTTCGATTTCGTTAGTCACTGAAATGGATGATCAACGAATTTGCATCAAGTACTGTGTGAAAAACGGATTCAAGGGTGCCGAAATTTTTTGAATGTTGCAAACAGCCTACGGGGATGCCGTCATGAGCCGAAGACGAGTTTTCGAGTGGTGCAAGCGCTTCAAGGAGGGTCGGGAAGAGACCGCCGACAGGGAGACCGTCCACATTTGTGAAAATAAATATTCACGTCTTTATTTTCACATTCATTATATATAGATGGCGCGTTATTGTATTGTATATATGAGTATATTCAATAAATATATAGTCGTACATAACTACGCCATGATGAGTAGTGAGCAACTGTTTTTACTGTAAATGCATCACATATCGATACAGGTAGAAATCCGTTAGATATTTTCACTTTCATGCGTGGATACCTTTTTCCCAAATAAACAAATGTATTACTTTTTGGCGACCACACTTTGCTTCAGCGAGCTCAAACTGGGACAAAGCTCCACTACACACACGGGCAGTGGACGGTCTCGGCAACCGCGAGCGTCAACCTGACTACGCATGCGCGCGGGGCGTCATCCGAGACTTTTGTTGGCCACTGGCATCAAAAAAACAAGGCCTGCTCCCAACAGCCGTTACTTCGACCGTTACTTCTTTTCTCTTTATATATATTTCTGGCTTTAAATAAATTAATTTGAATTATAATTTCATCAGCGGCCTTTCCACAAGCCACACCAACACATCACGCAACCATCCCACAACTTTATAAAATATATTTCAATATAGATATGAAAGAAATGAAACTAAGCCCCAACTTTTGAACGTTTCGGTAAATTAGAAGACTCAGGTCGGTAACAAAGCCACAACACCAACACTGATAAACTGAGAAGCGTCCACCTAGAGACAATATTTTACGACTATTGGTTCTCGTCAGTCTAGACTGGACTCTATCTTTTTTGATCTATAAGAGATCATATAATATATGAAATCTTAACAATATTATATAAAGATTTGTTCAGATGATAAAATACCTACGCCATAAAAATGGCCGAAGTTTTGTTGAACATTTTTCAGAAAGTAAATTTGGGAAAAAAATTACTGTCCTTACTACGAAGAAAAAATATTCAATTGTCGAAATCACTTAGAGAAATCCCTTCTGATATGCAAAGCCCCCAAACACATTTTTCATTGCTGATAGTGAAATTTTGTTTTATATAAATAAGAAATATTCGTGTGCTTCGTTTTTTATTTATTTTTTATATATATAGATGTTGTTGTTATTGTCGTGTCCAATGAAGAGCCTCAGATGGCTCCATACATCTCTATCACAACAGCAGCAATGTCCACTATCTTGGATGTTTAAAGCTTCTGCTCTTGGTGTATATCAATTTTATGCAAGGGTGCGGCCATTGCTGGGCATGAGAATATGTGGGTAGGTGTTAGTTCCATACCAGGACATTTGTTGCATATCTTATAGGCTATTGTGCCATCTGGATGTATTGTCATTCCTTTATAGTGTTTTGTTCTAAGTCTTGTTATAGTTTTTGTCATTTTTTCTCATATATAGATGACGTGATATATTGTCTTATAAATAACATACAAATGTGCAAGAACGCCGTTTGATACTTACACTCACTGAAGCGAAAAATAGGAAATATGTGATAATGTACTGGGATAAGATGTATAAATTGTGGATAAGGAATCTCCTTATCGTGCAACTGAAGTTGTTGATGGCTTGCGCCATCTATCAGAATGACTTATTCTGGAATAATTAAAAATCAACGAGAATTGTTTATATTTTTATTGTTTTATTTGGTGTTGTAGATTATTTATTATCATTACTAGTACATCGTTTCAAAGCATAATTAAAGGGAGAGGTGCCTCTTTTGGTTGTTATTGTTGTCGTGTTCAAGGAAGAGCCTAAGATGTCCCCATTCATCTCTATCACAGCAGTCGCAAGCATATTTTGGTGAATGTATAAATATATGACTTAACAATTTTGATAAATTATAATACCCATTTATGATAAAATAAATAAAGCTTCAAGGGTTAAATTTCTTGTGCAAATCCTTTTTTATTCAAGCTTTCGGAAATTGTCAGTTCCTCAACAGAAATTATCTTATTAAAGAACTAATCATAAATAATATTTTTTTACAAAATATTATTTACATATTTTGAAAATTCTTATGATATTGAAATAAATATATTACATTATTTGTAAAAACAATAAATCGGTGGACGAGTGGATAACACCCTCGATTCCCGACAGGGTTTGAAATCCGCGTTAAAATTTTGTTTAATATGTAAATGACCTTCACATATTATTCACTGTTTCAATTATCATGAACTAGGTTGCTCTTGTTGAGCGGTACCTATCAATGTGATTTTGAACCAACATTATTTGTGTATGGGTGAAAAACAATATTTTGAAAATATACGTGCATGGTGAATGATACGTGCTTATGTATGATATTATGCATTGATGTTTATTATATCATGAATACGTTCTTAGGAAAATCTAATTGTGTCACCATCATTAATAAATTATTGTTTCTCGATATATATATACAATAATTATATTATATATAAATTAACAGAAATAATTTTATTTAAAGAATGACAATAAAATCCAAACAACGAGAAATCTCTATTTTTTATTCATTAGATAAAAAATTCCTGTCCTATAAAGTTTACTTAAATTTTCTTAAGAAAAACTCCTGACACTTTAGCTCGCGGCGTCTTTTAAAGTTTGTCTTATTTTACCCCAAGTTTATTCTATTAAATAATTATCATTTTAAATATTTATCTCGAAAACTTTTACACACAACAGAATATTCAAATTTATTAAATATATTACAGAAACATTAAATTTTTTTTTAATATTTCTGATGAAATATTAAATCCACTTACCAATTATTTGTTTAATGAATAAATAGATATTGTGAATGATTAAAAAAATTGAAAAATTATGTTATTTAGATAGACTCATAGACAAAATTTAGAGAGTTTCATAATATCATATCGCCATCCGTCTGTTTTCTTTTTGTCTTTTTAATAAGGAGACAGGCAATTAGATGAGATACGGCCATATTACATTGAAAGAATCGGTTTTAATCCGATCAATGAAGTTAAGCAATATCGGGCCCGGTCAGTACTTGGGAGGATGACCACTTAGGAACTGTACACTATTCCTTTTGAAGAGATTGAGATTGAAACTACTTTATTTCAAAGTCAATATAATCTCATATAAGGTTAAATAGAGTATAAATATAAATAAATAAGATTATATAATGATAAATATATGAATAAATAGATATAAATATATAAAAATAATTGATAAATATACATATATATATATATAAATATATACAAGGTATTCATTGGTGGCCTCCACCGCGGGAATGACTCAGCCACCGATGGACTGCGAGAGTTCTTTACCACAGAGTGGGCAGTTCGAGGTGATGGCTGGCATTACCCAACTCAAGACTAAGATGGTACTTGTAGATGGTAGCCTTCGCCACACTTGTGATATTTAATGCCTTGGTATGGAGGACGACGCCGAAGAGCAAGGCCTGAAAATCCAGGAGCAAGTCGCAGGAAGCGAACACCCCCCGGAGCAGGGGGCGCACGGCTCGGCAACTCCAATATCTGTGGGTCAGCGACCCGTCACTGGACCCACAGGCGGCACAGTTAGCATGCCTCGAGGCAGTATGGTCAGGATGTGGAAGGGCGTGGAGGGACAGCCGTAGGGCGACATCTGCGTCGTGCCCCGAAAAGCAGTTTCGACGCAGGTTGGCCCAGGGGATGGAGCGAGGCGCATCCACAGTGGGGGTCCACCGGGCAGCCGGGATGTAGGATGCGCCTGGAGCCGTGCCGAGTCCAATGCCCGGCGCGCCCTCTGGCTGGTAAGATGGGTAATGGGAGTCGCCGATCCCCGCAGGAAGATGGTCTCCGTCTCGTACTCCGCATGATAGCTGGAGCTAGCGTTTTCCCGCAGAAGACGTTGGCAGAAGGCCCCCAGATGCTGCGCGTCCAGGAGCGCAGCCCGCGTTGAGCGCGCTGGTGCAGGGGCGTCATCGGAGAAGTCACCAACAGTCGCTTGTAGCCAGCGCTCGTGATCCAGCGGGTCTAGGGGCCGCAGGAATCTATTGTCACCTCGAAGACGCAGGGACCTCAGGCTGGCGGGATGAAGAACCCGGTGGTCAAGCTCGAGGACGCTGGACGTGGCCTCCCACAGGCTCATTAGTCTCCTCCTCCTAGGCGAGAGCCAGACATCAGGAGCCGGCGGTGTCAGCAGCCAAGAGTAGCCGTTGGCGGCGCCGCGAAGAGAGGCCTGGACCCCCTTCAGGCAGGCGAGCCGTAGCTGGCCCGCGATGTCAAGCAGGCCGACGCCACCATCGGAGACTGGACGAGCCAGGATGCGCCCGAGAAGCCACGAGACTCGTCTCGTACCCCACACGAAGCGCGCCAACCGCGCCTGCTGCCGGCCGACGGTGGTTTCAGGTGGAAGGTAGTCATGGAGGTGGTGCAGGATGGAACCCAAGACCAGGCTGTTGGCCGCGCGGGCACGACCCACCAGCGACAGGCCGCGGGTGAAGGGTGACCACCTCGCGATGGCTCGCTCCAGCAGCCCCATCAGGTGGGAGGCCTGGAAGGTGACGGTGTTTAGTAGGAAGTCGGCGATGGCTTCTTCCGAGCTTGGATCCTGAGCGAAGCGACTGCTTAAGCGCTCCAGAAAGAAACGCCAAAGCTGGCCCCCGGAGATGGCGTTGCCGTCGTCGTCGGTGAAGGTGGAGGGAGAGCGACGTCTGGCTCGAAGGGAACGCCCGAGGTCCGACAAGGAAGGATAGTCGGAGCGGGCAGTCGTCCTCCTGTCTCCGCCTCAGGAAGAGGCTTGCTCTCTCGATGTATCCACCGCCGGACTCGGCGACGGCAGGCGCGAGTGACCGAATCTCCGCGACCAGATTTGCCTTGATCCTGATCCATTGTTCCCATAACATCGTGGGTGAAGATTTGCTTAGTCTACCGATATTTCATCGATGAAGGTTTCCATTCGATCGAAGAACAGGTCTGACCGTAGCAGCTTGCCGATGCAGGGAAGTCTTGTAGGAGCTGGGTCTCCTACTTGAATCAAGACGGCACGGTGGTCCGAGTAGGCGTAGTCGATGGTTTGGTATTGGGTGACGCGGTCGAAGAAGCCTGATGGAAGTAGGATTCTGTCCAGAAAACGCGCGTCGACCCGGCTTCCGATAGTAGCAACCCTGGTGTGCTCCAGTGCAGCATCGAAGAAGGTGGCGATGTCGACGAGGTGGCTTGGTCCAGGAGTTCCGCGAGGGCTTCTGCTGAACCTGATGCCAGGTCCTTCGCTGACTCCTCGGAGATGTTTAGGTCACCGAGGATCCACGCACCTTCTTCACGCGCCAAAGCTGCGATGATCTTAAGCTGGCGGCAGCGCTCTTCAGGAGCACGAGAGACGTGGGCCTTGAAACACGTCATTGAGTATCCCCGGACGGTGAGGTTGATGACAGCAACCTTGCCAGGCCATAGGATCTGCTGCCGGTGAACAACGACGCTGGCCGCGAAGACACAGGCGAGGCCTAATCCCACGGTGGTCGTTGAAGGCACAGCGACGGCGCTGTAGCCGTGGCATAGGTCTCTTTCTTCGTCCAGGGATATGACGTTGGTCTCCTTGAGGAAGCAGATGTCAATCTCATGCTCCTTGAGAAAACAGCAGAGCTGGATTCTCCGGCGAAGAGCGGCGATGCCGCGCGTGTTCAGGTTGCAATTCGGAAGCTTATTTCGGCTGCCTAGCAGAGTTCCTAGCGCGTGACAGCTTCTTGTACAAGGTGTCACTAGTGTTCCCTGTCAGAGCCATAAGCGCTGTGGCCAAGGTGTCAATAGTCTGTCTCTGTTCGGTGTTAGATTGAGCCAAGAGCTTATCCATCACGCCATTGTTGGTGAATGCCTGGAAGATTTTCTCTCTATCCAGCCCCAACTTCAGAACTCTAGCGATGACTGCAGAAGCCCTATCGTTCTTCATTAGAACGTCCATTTGCTTCTGAGCTATTGTACGCCGATTCTGCGTTGATGGAGGCTCTGGAGAAGTGTTTAGTGTTTCGGGTGGAGAAGGAGTAGCTTCGACCGCCTTATCTGTCTGAGCTGTGCCCTGGGAGGTGGTAGGACCGCAACAGGAGGAGTAGAAGCGCTCGACGTGGTGGGAGGCTTGCTAGCGGCATTAAAGCCCACAACGGGAGTATCCACAGGGAGCAACAACTTGTTCTCCTGCAAGCCGGTCTTCCGTGGACAATTGGCACGTTTGTGCCCCTGCTTGTATCATAGGGAGACTTTATGCCATACGTCACGTAGACGTGGGTGGCCATTCCGTTGGACTTGACATTCAGCCGGGCAGGGATCTGGGAGAGCTTCACTCCGTCTCGCAGACTGAGGAAAGCTTCCCGACGGGAATCAGCCCAGATGGAGTCGTCCAACTCCATCCACTTCTGGACAATGGAGGTCACTTGTCCGTAGGGCCGAAGTGCTGCGACGAGATCAGCATCCTCCACGAAGAAGAGGACGTTGCCAAACACAATACGTTCGGCCCTTTTCCTCAGGGGAAGGCCCGCAGGGTGGCATCTTCGATGTCGAGACCCTCCTCGACGAGCTTGTCGGCGAGCGGTACGCTGGAGAGGCCGACCAGGATTTGCCCTCCATCTTCGCCAGCTTGTAGACGGTGCCCTTGCCCAGCTTCGCTTCCGGCGCCAGAAAGTACTGGGCCTGGCTGAAGTCTGGGCAAAATTCTAGGTAGACACATTGTTCTACCTTCCCCACCACCGACCTGGCTCGGGGCAACGCCTGCTTTTGCCGGGTTGTCGTACCTCGTACATTCCTGTACCTTGGACCTGGGCGCTGGGCGAGGGTTGGCTTCGCGGCCGCTGCCTGGACTCAGCCCCTCTTGGCTTTTCGTCATGCCGCTTCTGAGACCACCGGCCCCTTTCTCCTCGGTTCCACCTTGGTGAAGCCGACTGTTTCCTCCTCCATGGGGTGGTGATTCGTCCGATCGACAAGATTCGCCCAGCTCGTCGACGGCTTGCCTATTCCAGGCTGATGGTTGGTGGTAGTCTTCTCAGTCGCCGGAGAAGTGCTGATTACATCAGCAGGTGAGGATGGCATTGGTGATTCGGGGGGCGGGGAATCCCCCATAAAAATTCAAAATTTTTCTACTTCTCTTCGGAGGCGGTTAGAATTGCCAAACCTCTAGAGTTGGGGCAGGAGCGCGCGCTGTACACTATTTCTTTCTATGTAATATGTTGCTTTAGGTATATAATTGAAGGAAGAAGAGAGATAAGACCTCTATACATTTGGCTAGAATGATTAAAAATGATAAACTCCAGATCAAATGGAAGAATAATTTTCCATATGTCCATCTGTAAAGTCGAATATTACTTGATGGACACTATGAACATCATTGTATTTGACGAGTCTACTAATAAAACAAATTGGAGAGACCATGTGGCCCACCCTCATTAGAGGAAGGCACTGAAGGAGGGAATTATAGAGAGACCATGTTGCCACAATAAGTAGACAAAGGCACTGAAGGAGGGAGATATGGAGAGAACACGTGGCCCACCCTCATTAGAGGAAAGTATTGAAGGAGGGAGATATGAAGAGACCCTCAGTAGAGGAAGTCACTGAAGGAGGGAGATATGGAGAGACCATGAAGGAGAGAGATATGGAGAGACCATGTGGCCCACCCTCAGTAAAGAAAGGCAATGAAGGAGGAATATAGGGAAATAAAATGTGACCCACCCTAGTAGAGGAAGGCACTGAAGGAGGGAGATATGGAGAGACCATGAAGGAGAGAGATATGGAGAGACCATGTGGCCCACCCTCAGTAAAGAAAGGCAATGAAGGAGGAATATATGGAAATAAAATGTGACCCACCCTAGTAGAGGAAGTCACTGAAGGTATTGAAGGAGGAATATAGGCAAAGATAATGTGGCCCACCTTCAGTAGAGAAATGCATTGAAGGAGGAATATAGGGTGAGAAAATGTGACCCACCCTCAGTAGAGGGAGGCATCGAATGAGAGAGATAGGGAGAGACCATGTGGCCACACTCAGTAGACGAAGGCACTGAAGGAGGGAGATATGGAGAGACCATGTGGCCCACCCTCAGTAGAGGAAGGTATTGAAGGAG